TGATACATTTCCGTTTTCTTGCTACAAGCTGCTTCAAAAGCATAAAAATCACAAATTGTGCCAAACTGTTCCAAAACAGCCTTGAAAGCTAGACTTTTGATGCCAACTTCAGCTTCAGTAAAGAAAAAAAGGCAGAGTTGACCAATAAGACACGCCTAATCATGTTTTTTTTAATTTGCACTTTTCTGGTGACCAAGGCTCGCATGCATGGTGCCACTATAAGCTCCTCTAAACTGCTGTAAATATGCGTTACCTTGTAAACAATGTGCTGCGATGTATCGAGCGTGCTACTTCTACTAGTTAGGCTGTGTGTTCTGGCGCCTCTGTCGCTTAGCGAAAACCACAGTTGAATGGCGAGCGTAGCGGAGTTCACTCTCAGGTTCTTGTTGTGCGTAGTGTGTTTCCCTGGTCGTTGCAGTTGTGAGAGTTTGCCGTGAGTGAGTAACTGTCAACGTCGAGTCATTTCCCTGCATGTGATGGATGTCCTTGGTTCTCAAAATTGGTTCCGTGAGGAACTGAGCGCGTGCAATCCATTCCTGGTTTATGCCCATTAGCTACTAATTTACCACAATTTTCGAACTACTTTTCGAGTGTGATGAGTTCTTTTTTCTTTTTTAAAATGTTTCCAGGAAACCTCGTTTTCAAGAAAACCTTTTTTTTTTTTTAATGTAATTTTACATGTTTGTTATGCGAGCTAGATAGTTCATGTGGTATGTACCGTATTTACTTGATTCTACCGCACCCTCGATTGTAACGCGCACTCTGTTTTCACGACGAAAAAAATAAGTAAGACATCGATTGCAATGTGCACCCATTTTTCTCGTTGGCCTGCACGATCACACTATTCGGGAAAACGACTCCTTTCGGAAGCGTCTTCCGTTTAAATATGAGGTACGGGGAAAGCTTGTGCCTATCTGACGTGCAACGGAGCATTGCCGTCACTCTTGTTTTACCGTGGCCCGATGTTAGCATGCGAACTTGCTTCGCCCCCTTCTTTTCGACGGTTGTGGTGCCAAGCATGTCGAAGTAAAGAGGCGTCTGATCGGCATTCCCGATTTGCCCAAGCAGGTAGCCGTGTTTTTGCCGCAAGTTTAGGACGAACCTCTGAAAACTGTGAAGCTTTTCTTCGTACTCCTCCGGCAAGTTTTGGCGCATGCCCGTACGCTTTCGCATCATCTGGCTCCGCGTTAGCCCTTTTTCTAAAGCTAACTGCATAGCCCGCACTTAAAGCAGTTCTGTCGTCACCGGCCGCTGTGCCGCTCGCTGCTCAAGCACATACCCGGCAAGCAGCTCTTCAATTTGCGGAAACCAACCCTGCTGTGGTCCACTGAAGCCTTTGCATGAATCTTTGAAAATCTTCTGCTTTTGTTTCCGCCAGTCCCACACGCACGTTTCGGGAACTCCGAACGGTCGCGATGCGGCCCGATTTCCGTCTGTTTCGGCACATACGATGACTTTTCTTTTAAAAGCGGCACCGTGGTGCACTCGGCGAGTTTCTGGGGTAGGCCCTTCCAAGCCGTCGATGCTAATGAACTACAAGATGACGAACTCCTCAGCACACGTACGAAGTGCCGCACATGGGAAACACATAGGCAGAAGTGGCTGACACGCCATGCCAAAGCACGTAGGGGGCGGCCATTTTGGAAATGCCGATGGCAATAGAATGACCGTATTCATTTTTTTTCGCACTCAATTTTAACGCGCATGCGATTTATGAACTCGCTTAACCGGAAAAAAGGTGCGCGTTAGATTCGAGTAATTACGGTAAAAAGGTAGTGCAGTTCATACCGGGCTATAATCTGTCTAAAAACTTCCTTCAAAATCTGTTTGTTTTATGTATATTATGTCAATTAATATATGCACTAGTGCCCCTATGTTGCTAAAAATTTGTATTTTCTGCCCCCAAAACTGCTTCCAATTTATTCTCGGCTGTCTCACCCCTGCTAATACACCAAAAATCGTTTTGCCCTTTAGTGTCCCATTAACTACTTCAGCTACCACAAGGGCTAAATCGTGACTTTTGTAGATAAGTCGGTCAAAATATGCGCTAGTGCCTCTACATCATCTAAAATTTGTATTTTCAAGCTCCTAGGATGGCATATTAAATGCTGCGAACTGCTCCAAAACAAGGTTCTCCTGCTCCAAAATTCAAATGTTTCTGCCCCAAAAACTGCTTCCAATTTAGTCACAGCCGTCTCACCCCTGCTAATACACCAAAAATCGTTTTGCTCTTTAGTGTCCCATTAACTACTTCAGCTACCACAAGGGCTAAATCATGACTTTTGTTGTACGTCGTTTAGACAGAGATGTACTGGTAGGCTTGAACATGGGTGCATCTACGTTAAACACTGCTATAGCTGCCAAACACTGAAAGAGGTTTCACAAACTCTCGTAAATTGATGCACAATAAACAATTGACTATACTCCTGTGAAGGCGTGATTCACTCGCCAATTCTTATGAAGGAGGGATGTACCTCGTTTTTCTTTTCATTTTTCTACGATTGTCATTGTCAATGTAACACCATGCCACTGTTTCTTAAAGGCACTGTCTACCGCCCTCTTTTTTTTTTTTGCTTTGTGTCACATTAAAAAGTGTACAACACCTGAAGTGTCTAACCTCACAGCAGTTTATTTGGAAAGTGGGTAGAAATTCTTTAATCAGAATTTTTTTATCTGCGTTCAGTCTCCTTCCATTGGTAGGATGAGTGTCCACAGCACTGTTCGGTAAAAGAGACAATTAATCAGAATTTTTTTATCTGCGTTCAGTCTCCTTCCATTGGTAGGATGAGTGTCCACAGCACTGTTCGGTAAAAAAGACAATTGTATTGCTTAGGAAAGTCGAAAACCGAAACTGCATATGCTTTTTGTAGGCTTCAAGTTTTGTTTAATAATAAAACAAACACCTTAGTGGGCATTTGAAGCATGCAGACATTTATTTTTGTTCTCATGAGCTACGGCCCACGCGGTGCTATTGTTTCTCCGCCATTTGCAGGCAGGCATGCAGGCAAGTGAGCACACCGTCGACAGCACCATTGTGAACCTTTTTGAATGCATCAGAAAAAATGACAAAATTGCTCTCTGGTAGAATTTAAAGCTGCCTCAAGTGCGTTGAATGCAATTTCAAGTTATACATGTTTTTTTTTTAGGCAAAATGAATCTATGAGCGGCGATTTCGTGGCCTGCCAATAGATTGATCCAAATATCTGTTGGGTGACACTAGTGGTCATTCTTTGTTGACTCTCAACATCAGATTAAAATTGTAACACCTTTTTTCTCATGAATAAAGCATGCTCGTTGCTGACGTAGTGATGAACGATCTTCTCATTTTCACCTCAATCGGAAAATTTTTTTCTGAGTGGTTGACAGTCCCTCTAAAACATTACATTTTGATGCATTTTTATTCAGAACTCTTATAAACTGGATGCAAGTTAAGTTCGATAAAGTACAGTATAAACTGGAGTTGCGCTTCACACCTTTACGCACTTTCTAGCCTGCATGCAGTGATCAAGCTACATTGTCTAAACTGTTGTTAGGGTATGGTGAATGCCGTTAACCTTTCTATTGAGTTGGCATTTGTGAGAAGCTTCAGTTTTATGTGCATCATTTAGGCACTTTAATTTGATTTTAAACAACCAGCCAACAGGCTCAGGCTTTTTTTCACACCCTCCAAACAAGCTCTGTAATTCGTGTAGTAAACTGCAGCAATCATGTTTTCTTAATATTACAGGGCTGTGCAGGGCCTCCATTTTGAAAAGCAATTCACGCGCTCCTTTCGTATGCTTGACCAGTGCTCCTTGCACATGCAGTGACAACGACTCGGGGATCGGCGGCGTGACGCAGCACGCAGCTTGTCAGTCGTTCTAAACCAGGTCTCAACAAACAGTAGTGAAGTCAACAACAGTTCCTGTTCTCACCCACAGCTACGACAGAGCTATTCAATCATACGAGTTGCAAAACTCCCCATTAGACTCCATGTATCGAAATCTGGACACTTCACTGACCCAGTTTTTGGGAGTGAGCAGATTGTCGGGCCGCCTGTCGATCAGCACACCCACTATCAAGTGCATTATTTTTGTGTTGCTGCTCCCTGATGGCATGACAGACTGCTCCCGAAAAAATTTAACTCTAGAAAAATCTGGCCACGTTCTTGTCCGGGTTTTGGAACGCAGTTTTGTTGCATATTGTTGTTTGCTGCAAATCGAGCAACTGGACTGCGAAGAAGTATTGGCACCCGGTAAGCAGTAAACAACCAGGCATTGCAGCAAGTGTAAGTGGGTTGCGACTGGCAGAGTTCGCCGATGTCGTCAAGTCACATTGCCGAAGTGGGCGAGGTCACGACGACGAGCTACGTCTACCCCTCCCTCTAAAAGAGAAGGGTGGCGAGGCCGCGTGAAAATTTATAACTAGCTGAACGCGATGTTCTAGCCGCTGTAACTTCTTCAATACAGCACATATTCACAGTTCTTGTGGCAGCATGTTCACGAAGTGAAAGTGCACATATTTTTTTAACAATTTTCATACCTTGAGGTTGTTTACTCTCCCTTTAAGTTAGTGTAATAGGTATTTTTTTTACAGAAGTCTGCGTATTTCTAGTAGTAAAAAGCTTCAATATTGGCTCAGCATCAAGCTCTTAGAATGAGAAAAGGGAGAGAGAACTGGTGCATAGGCTGAGAAGAAAACAGAGATGGCATCCACATTCTAGGGAATGCATAAGAAACTGCCAGGTTTAACAGCTTTCTCAGTTTCTCCTACTATAGACCTTCTTTTTAGATTGAGGTAACATCAAGTTGTCTCTTAACTATTCCATGTCAGTACAAAGGTATCTGTGGCCATTTGTTCGGTGCTTCTTGGTAGGTGTTGCACCTATTGAAATGTCAGGGGCAATATACTTAGTGAGATCTGTCTTTAAAGGTCCGTAGGCCAGTCAGCTCTATCGTTGTTTCAAGTGAAAAAGCTTCTATCTGTAGGTCCTGTGTGTTTGACTTCTTCCTGTTTTACAGTGTGCAACGTCTTCTACACAGTCCACGACTGCCTTTCGATTATGGGAGGACAAGGGAAGCGGAGGAGCTGAGCTGGAAGGAGGCTGCTTCGAAATGGGACTACTACTGCTACAAAGGGGGAAAAGAGGGAGGAGCCTAGAAGCGATGGGAGAGCAGGACAGGTCTGGAGGAAGAATCGGACATATACACACAACACACAAGGGTCTCTCGTGTAGCAAGGACAGTGGCGTCGACCAGACGAGGGGGGGGAGGGTGGATGACTGTCCACCAGCCCCCTTTATTTTCTGTAGTCTCTTCCTTAACTCTCCCCGCCATCGTAACAGGCCCCGGTACCACTGCTGCTGCCACTGCTTAACTCTGTTCTTGCCCTCAGTCCCTCACGCAGCTCTCTCCTCTTTTTTTATACCTCCGTGTTCTCTTTGTTCATTTCTTTTCCTTCTTTGTGTCTGTGTGTGTGTGTCCCACAGTGTACTAGGGGTGGAGAAATAAATGTGTGGTTTTTCTTTCCCATGCACATGCCACCCTGCTGCTACATAACCTCTGTTCCACAGGCACCATCTCCAAGCAGTGGAACACAACCTGGCTGTTAAATTTTAAAGTCTGAACACTGGGTTACGTCAAGATTTGAAGAAAAACAGCAACTGAAAGTCTCCTCTTTGTGTAACATGTTCAGCTTGCGCTCTGTTTCTTTTTTTTTTTTCTTCACTACCAGGTCTAGTCAGACTTTAGGATGCCACTTTTTCAGCATTCCCACCAATCAGTTGGCTTCGCGTAAAGGACCTGGCTGAGAGAAGGGATGCAAGGCAGAAACTTTGTACGTTGCTTGGAAGGCTGCCGCTTGCTTGTGTGGTCAGAATTTCCCGTTTTGCTCATTGCTACTGTTTCAATGCCTTCAATTTTTTTTTTTCACCTGTGATTGAATTAGTTGTTATACATCAACTCTGGGGAAGAAGAGTGCAAACATTGCAGTGCAGCGTCTCATGTTACCTGTGCTTCTCGTCCTTGTGCATCAACTTCGTTAAAACATTCCTCACTTTTTATTGGGAGGCTGGGCACAAGCTGCACTTTTTATCTGCTTATGAGCTGCTGGCACTGCATGTTGTGTAGCAGTTACAGTCTCTTCTTTAAGTTCTTTCTTTTTCTAGTGTGTTTGAAGTTCCTGCCACTGCGCAACTTCTTTTCAATGTAGCTAATGACATCAACAGCCTTAGGGCCTTCAGCTGCTTTTTTGTAAGGCCTATCGTAGTAGCTGGTGTTATGGTTGTAAAATTGAAAACAAATGAACCACACAGCTATTACAGTGGCGGGTGCTTGGATAGGTATGTTTTCATGAAGGGATGACACTGAGTGTTTTCTTGTTTGTGGTACGATCTGCCTTTCCAGCATTGTGCGATAATTCTGAGCAGGATGCTTTTTATGGGTGTTAAACGGTAATGTGAGAGCGGCGGGTTATGTTCGCTGGTTACTTTTGAGATTGCTCTACTAGGCTTTACTTTCTCTTTCCCCGACTGTCTCTTGGCTAACTGCGGTCAAACTATTTTTCTCTATGGCGCTTGCGTGCTGCTTTTGCATGTTGCGTGTATGTGCGAGTGATTCATTTAATTGTACATTGAAAACAAAACGGGGCAAGAAAGAAAAAAAACAAAGGCTTCTGACTTTGTTGTACATTGTTGGTTGCAGAATCCTGTTCTTGGCCACTGTTGGGCGGTTATTCAGGATGTGATAGTCTATGCGTCTTCTTTTTTTTTTCCTCCCCTTCCAAGTATGTATTAAGGAGCCAGTCTGTGTTGCGGATTAAGAAATGTGCTACAGATTAGCCAGATACCTAAGCAGAGCAACCGTACGAGATTTTGTAGCTACTGCTGGCTAGCCCAGCACTGGTGTATAGTTTGTGCTTGTAACACAACCAAGTACCACCAGCTGAATGGTGGAGAAGCAATGTGTGCTCATTTTGTCATGCTGTACGTGTGTGCACAGCTGCTTGTGTTGCTGCTGCTGTGTTTGATTACTTCAGGCCTGGGAACAGCAGTGAAGTGATGCTGCATGTGTAACTTGCGTAGCACTCCTGCAACCCCAATATTGTTGCATTGTACGTAGGCTGTTTACAAGTTTTTATTTTCCTCCCTGAAAAGATGATTGCCAGCAGTGAAAAACAGAAAAGGCTGTACTTCAATTTTAAGAGGCTTGGATCTTTTTTGTTTATCTTTTTTTCTTCTCAAATGTAATTATATCTTCCACCTACATAGCTGAACACTGGTTGGCACACATTGCTAATAAAAGGAGGAATAAAAAAAAAGCTTGTGCTTGTGTGTATATTTGCAGATTTGTCTGTTCAAGGAATGTGCATGACACAGAGGTTCAAGTGTTTCAGCTGTGCACACAGTGCAGCAGCAAATCCTGTGATTAGCTACAGCCAATTGAATCGGAGAACGATGGGAAGCACTCCTCCATTTTTTTCTGAATGCCTTCCACACACTGCAAAGCCAGGGGGGGAAGCTTGAACCCCTTCATGTCCATTATTATTGCAGTTCATATGTGTATGTGCAGGGTATGTCTGTAAGGTAACGAGACTGGGCCTTGAAAACTTATTGATCTGATTTGTGTGTATTACATGAACTACTGAAAATAGTTTCTGTAGGTGTTAATACATCTTTACCAACATCCTTTGCATGCCACAAAGGCTGCCTGAAAGTTTGCTGCAGTGAGCTCTTCTATCGACTCGACAGCGAGTTGAATGGCCGGCACACCGTCAAAACTGTGACCTTTCTGGCTTCCCTTGAGCTTTGTGAAGGGGAAGACTCCTATCGGGACTTGCATCAGGGCTGCCTGATGTGGTAACGGCAGCTCGAGAGAAGCCTGGAAGATGATCATCAGCTTTTGTCCACCTGTGCAAATATCCTGCAATTTCGTATCCCTGGGCGTTGCTGCGCATAACTGATCTTTGGCGAAAATCGTGCGATCAGCATTCTTGCCAAGCTCTCGCGTAAACCGCACACTGCCTTGTCACCCGAACAGCATAACGCAATGGGGGAATCTTTGCGGGAATCATGGTATTGTGATACTGCCAGTGGACAAGGGAGATTCCACTGTTATTATGAATGCCACTGACTACATCAGCAAGATGTCCGACATCGTCCAGGATAGTAGCACCTATGCACTCTTCAAACGCGACCCCACACTCGAAGTGCAATGGGAACTGCAGAGGCTTCTGGCTGAAGTTTGCGATACATGCATCCTCAACACAAGGCCCGTTATTTTTCGCTTCTTTGCCACAACGGTAGAGTGTACTAGAAGTGTTGAGTGGTGTGACTGCGCCTCGCCGGCTGATGCCTTCTGCGTTGCCCGTAGCGGCGGCGCTGCTGTCGAATAGTATTGTAAGAGCCGCGCGCAGGGACTGCTATGCACTCCGGCTTCTCCGGTGCGCTTTTTTGATGCAGGTAAGTAGGTAGGTGAGCAACTTTATCTGCAGTAGAATACGTGTGGCAGGGGAAGTGGAAGCAGGACCATGACGGGCCCTCGGGCCGCTCTAGGTGGCCGGACACTGCTGTGCTTCGGCGACCCTTCTGGCCCAGCTCATTGTCCGGAGCTGTAACCCCGGTTGTGAGCTGTGCAGAGCAGCCTCCAATTGATCCTGGTGTTCCGACTCCGGGGTCTTGGGTTTGTTCAGACAATTTAAAAATACGTCATGGAAGTCTGCTCTGGTGCAGGGACATAAGTTGCAATGAGGAGAGGTTTCGCCATTCGTGAGAAGGGAGAGAAGAGAGTCGTCACAATGGCCGTCTGAAGTCTGCGCCACTAAACCTGGTCACTTCTGGAAAAAAGATTTATGCGGTGGGGGTACGTTAACCGGGAATTTCGGTAAAGTACCGTCACATCGTGATAGCTAAGGAGTCGATCCCTGGCACCTCGAAGCGAAGGCAGGTCGCTGTGAGCCCGGTTGGCGAGTGCTCGGGCTTGGGTGGGAGCGGCCGTGTTGCCTGGGTGTCCACAGTGCGCAGGGACCCAGAGGAAGGTGATGCGATCGTGTGGAGGAGATAATTCAAGAATTTTAGCAGCCGGTGAATGAATTTTGAAGAGTGACGAAGTTACAAATTGCAGTTCTGGAATTCGAAAAAATATACTCGGTGGCGAAGTAAACAATGGCTAAAGTAATTGCCGCTGCCTCCGCTTCTAGGGATTCTGTCAAATTTGGAAGGGACGCACTAGCGACCAGTTTTTGAAATCCGTCTAGAACGGCTATGGCGAAAGCTGGATGTTCTCCATATTCGGCCGCATTTACATAGACTCCGGAAGAATTAGGAGGGAAGCGCTTGTGAAGGACTTTGGCTCTAGCTTCCCGTCGCCCTCTATGTTCTGGGTGAGTGTTTTTGGGAAGTCGCTGGATTAAAAGGTTGCTGCTAACAGCGACTGAAACTGCGTGCGTGGCCGTGGTGTGACCAGGAACGTTTATTCGAAGTCGGCGCAGGAGTACTTGACTTGTTTCTGTAAGCGATAGTCGTTGATACTGATTGTGAAGATGCGCCTCTACAAGCTTTCCCAAAGTGTTGTGCACTCTAAGTTGAAGTAATTTATCCGTGGCTGTTGATTTAGGGAGATGGAGAGCAGTTTTATAGGCAGTGCGAATGAGTGTTAAGTTGCTCGGTTTCCGTGGGCGTAAAATAGAGATAGGGGATGGAATAGGTAATTGTGCATAGGCATAAGGCCTGAATGAGGCGCCGTGTGTCTGCTTCCCTCATGTGTCTGCTTGCCTCAACCGCGATGACGATTGGAAATGCACTTAATGAGGGAGGTTGCATTATGAACTGAAGTGCAGATTAACTTTATGGCATCGGCGTTGGAACCATTGTCGGAAATATTAAGGCCTAAATTTTTTTATTGACCCTGCGAATAGGGGTGTCATCAAGGATGACTTGTTTCTTGCTTTTTAAAATAAATTACTAGGAGTTCCGATATAGCCGCCGAGCAGGTGAGCCCAATACTGTTGGCGTGTTCAACAACAGTGTCAGCGGCAATCTGAAGCTTTGGTTCGATTTTGCCATGGTTTCCGGAATCGACCTAGATGGTGATGTCATCCGCGTACAAAAAGGGATTGATGGGAGGTTGGCAAGTTTCCGCGCTAGTGGGATATGAGAGTAACGTTAGAAAGTAACGTGACAAAAGTGATCCCTGGGGCGTTCCCTTGCCACCTAGCGTGAAGGGAACGGTTTTAAAAGTGCCTAATTGTAGGCGGACAAACCTGTTGCTGAGAAAGGCATACCTGTGTGACATACCTGTGCGTGCGAGAGCCTACGTTTAGTTCGCTAAGAGAGAGTGAAAAACAGTATCGAAAGCCTTTGTCAGGTACAATGCGAGGATGGCTCTGGTGATGTGTGGAAGTAGGATTTAGCACATTCTCCTTAAGCGGCAGCATGACATTCTGAGTAGAGTCCCGCTCGGAAGCCGTACATGGTAGAGGGAAAGAGTTCGTCTTGTTCCATGTAGTGGTCAAGGCGATTGAGAATTACATTCTCCATCAGTTTTCCTTTGCATGAGGTAAGGGAGATTGGTCTCAAATGATTAAGGTCTAACGGCTTAATATTGTCACGGGGGTGACAGAATGAATGCAGTAAATATATTTACAAAATATACAGGGAGAGTCGGAGGCAGCTGCAGCCAAGATGGAAGAACAGCAGCAACAACAACACGAGCACGATCGCTTTCATCGTCTTCGTCGTCTATGATGCTCTTTCGTTGCCGATGTCGTGTAACATTTAGCCCCCCGCCGCTGGCAGCGCCGTCTCGGCGCCTAAAAGAGAGTAGGATCATATGCGGATATTACTACGTCAGTAGCGGGTGCGGACGACGATGACTGACTGTCCAACGGAGCAATCGCGTATGTGACATCGGTAAGCCGGCGTAAAACTTTGTAAGGCCCCGAGTAGCGAGACAGGAGCTTCGAAGAAAGGCCAACGTGGCGGCATGGTGTCCAGAGGAGGACTAATGAACCTGGAGAGTAGGAAACTATTCTGTGATGGCTATCGTAGCGGGGCTTCTGAGAGAGCTGCGAACCAAGAAGACGTTCCCGTGCGATTTGGCGGGCCACTTGAGCCCGAGCAGTGGCATCCCGGGCGTACTCGGTAACCGTTTGTGTAGTTGATGGGAGAAGAGTTTCGAAGGGTAACGCTGGATGGCGGCCGAACAAGAGATGGAAGGGGAGAAGCCAGCGGTGTCGTGACGTGACGAATTTTACACGAATGTCACATAAGGCAAAGTACTATCCCAATCAAGGTGATCTTTGGAAACGTACATGGAGAGCATTGTTGTCAATGTTCGATTTAGGCGCTCGGTAAGACCATTTGTTTGTGGGTGATAGGCCGTAGTGAGCTTGTGACGCGTCGAACACGAGCGAAGGATGTCACTTACTACTTTTGAAAGAAATGAGCGACCACGATCAGTCAGCAGCTGTCGAGGAGCGCCATGGTGAAGAATTACGTCATGAAGCAAGAAGTCCGCGACGTCAGTGGCACAGCTTGTCGGTAGCGCTCGTGTGATAGCGTATCTCGTGGCGTAATCAGTGGCTACGGCTATCCACTTGTTTCCAGTGAGAGAAGTAGGAAATGGTCCAACGAGATCAAGGCCGACGCTGTAGAAGGGAATGGTGGGTATGTCTATTGGTTGGAGCGGACCAGCTGGTGGCAAGGTGCAATGTTTGGAGCGCTGGCAGGACTCACATGCAGCAACGTATCGGCGCACAGAACGGTAAAGGCCTGGCCAGAAGAATCTACGCCGCACGCGATCGTACGTGCTCGTGACCCCGAGATGTCCCGCGGTTGGGGCGTCGTGAAGCTGTTCAAGTACAGCGGAACGGAGTGTCGCAGGAACTACGAGTAGTAGCTCCGGTCCCTCGGCGCTGGTGTTGCGTCGGTAAAGAATGCCATCGCGTAGAACGAAGAAGTGTAGCGATGGGTCTACGTGGGGCAAACGTAGACTCTGCATGATAGACCGCAAGTGGACATCGCTGAGCTGTTCCTTGCGTATGTCGGTGAAAGCCGACATGGCGAAGACACAAGGGTCAGAATCATGTGCTGAAAGGTCAGGTGGGTCCATGGAGTGACGTGATAGACAGTCGGCATCCTGGTGCATTTGGCCAGATTTGTATGCCACGTCGAAGCTGTATTCTTGTAGTTTCAAGGCCCAACGGCCAAGTCGTCCAGTTGGATCTTTAAGGGACGACAGCCAGCACAAGGCATGGTGATCTGTAGTTACCGAAAATGTGCGACCAAACAAGTATGGTCGAAATTTTCCGACTGCCCAGACTAGTGCGAGGCACTC